CGCGACATGAAACTCACAATACCCTGTAATCTGTTAAGAGAATGATGGTTTAGACGACCTAAAAAATGATACTCAACAACATCAGCAGTTAGTAGAAACCTTCTAAATATGGCTTGCAACTGCGCTCTCCGGACCGTGTCGCTAGAAGGGTAGGCGAACTCATCCCAATCCTCCGGTTTTTCGTTTCGGCATCTCATTATCAATATTCTCAAGCATGTTTCTTCATTTTCTTCTAAATTTAGTCTCTTTATTTGCTCCTTCATAATTAACAATGGCCCAAGAAACCATTCAAACATTGTGTCCCTTGGCAAGTTTGTTCTTGTCAACTCCACATCATCAGCTGGAAGTTCATGTATATTTCAATGTAACCAATCGATATAATTAAACGATTAACCCGGAGTTAGGAGAAAAGACTTACAGATGATTAACCCGGGAGAGTTCGACTTTGCAGACGAAAGCAAGCACTGTAATATACACCATGCTGGTAACTTGACGGTTAACTTCTTACAGTTGCCCTTTAGAATGCATTCCTCAACGTCTTCCATCGATATCAGACCGTCGTGGAGAAGTATTCGACCATTCACTTCACAGGATTTAAACAGCCAATCCCAAAACTGTGGCCAACAAACATTTGAATGATGCAACATAAGAAAGATTAGGATTAGGATTTACACCACTTTATGACATTACCTGGACGGGTTTGTATTGTTGGATCGCCCGTTTCAATGTCCTCGATTGTTCCGAGACAAGTTTATGATTGCTTGAACCATGTCTTATACTTCTCTGATCGTTATTGTCATCGCTACGGTGCTCCTTGAGGTCGGAGCTCATGTTTCTACGATATTTCGGCCTGGCTGCCACAAATAGTATAATACAGAATTGAAACTCGTGGCACAAGCATCCAAGAAGATGAGGAAAAAGGGCAGAAACTATATTCACCTGGGAATACAAGACCCCTCCCCCAAATAGAGTAGATCATTCACATACTCATCGAACATCGAAACTACCGCTAATACATAAGCAAGCCCCAACCGAAACGAGTCTTCCTGCAAAATGTACATATTATCAAGTTCAACTTCAAACACACAGACAATTTGCAAAGATGCAACAGTTTGATTGCCCCAGAGCACCTGATGAACGATAACTCCAGCATAGAGCCCCAAAAAAAAGCTAGAGACGACTGCGCTTATGACTGCTCCAACGACAGCAATGGGCCACAAGATGATGGCAAGACCAGCAAATGGAACACACACTGCCTCCAGGAATGGTCCTTCTCTACCAATCAAATCTTCCAACATCCTCTTCCATCCTTTGAATAACATGAATGGACTTCTCCACAGGGCAACTAAAGTAATTAAAAGAGAATCAACTAGAACACCAATCAAACTGGCCAATAAACAACTTGGAAGTCTTGATAGCCTGACCAGGATAAGGCAGAATGTAAATCTTCCGATAAAGTTCTTAAATATTTGAGATGGGAGAGAGGAGAAGAAAGCACTCACTTCACTTCTATGGGCTTCTCATCACTGTACATCAACTCACCCAGTTCATCCATGAATGAAAAATAAGAATGGAAACAGAAATCTGTAAAATCCATCACAATTACGCAGCTTGCTTTAATTGTGGACAAACAACCATCCTGTGTGTAGTAACGTTTTTTTTTTGTCAGGCCAGTGAGTATCAAACGAATGTACTGAAGGATTAAAATAAATATGCAGTAATCACAGAGAAGCGATTCATTTAGAAAATCACAACAAAATGGTGTGCTGTAATGCCACGGCATTACAACCAAAATGTTTTGATACCCAAAAGTGGTAGCGGAATGCCACAACCAAAAATGCTTTGATACTCAATTGTTGTAACGAAAGTGGGAGTAAGATCGAATGCACTCACACACCCACAAACAGAAATTAAACAAAGAGACACAAAGATTTACGTGGTTCGGATAGAAGAAATTTCCTACATCCACGAGTGGTAGCTAATACTATAACCAAAGTGTTCACAAAGTGTATCTCTCACACCACAAAGTCTCTTTTACAAAGTTCCTCACAATTGCTTCTAAGCAAATACAAAATGACAATGACTCCACTCGTCTCCAAATCTAACCCAAATGTCACTAGACAAATACATCTAACCCAAATGCCGACAAATACAAGATGACAATGACTCCACATCTCAAAACAATGCTAGACAAGCCTTTATATAGACATAGTAATATTAATTCTCATAGATGAACCAAATACATGAGAATATGAAACAAAATGGTCAAAGTTAATAACCAAAATAAACGAGAATATGAAACAAAATGATTATGAACTAAATGAGAGTTACGATCCTACGTCTTCATGACAACTTACCGCATAAAAGTGATCTAAACACAAAAAAGTGATCTAAACCATTTCAAAATCACTCCCAAACATGCCATTAGCTCAATATACCAAATGCCAAAACGGGATAAGGAACTCGCAGCAACACAGTGAAAAAGTTTGCCAGTAATGCCGCCTCCAACTGCCTCAAAAGTTGCAATAAGGGGAACGAAAAACCCATATCCAATCCCACCAAGCAAGCTTCCAATAACGCCAACAATCGGCCAAAGGATGAGTGGCAAGGGCAAGAAAACAAGCACCACAGATTTAAGAACAAGGCCTAACCTCTTGGTTCTGAAATTAAACATAACATAAACGAAATCCCCAATGGTCACAGAATCGAAATCAGCAAACTCAAGGCAAAGCATAATCGCAACAGAATCAACGATGTATCTTGTAAATTATACCTAGCCAGGCAGACGAAAGTCCAGAAAAAATGCGCAGGAAAAAGACCAACGATTACAGATGAGTTACCAACCACAACAATGGCTGCTGCAATCGGACCAACAATCACAGCTGAAAGAATCCATCAATGAGACATTAAATCAAAACGCGCGGAACTAATACTGAAGAGATGAAATTACCTTTGAGGAGGCCAAGAACGAGGAGCAAGAAGAAGAAAGGAAGGAAGGAGATGAAGCTCCAGAGCTTGGGGAAGAATCCAACGGGAACTCGCATGAGGGTAACTTCGGGAAGAAATGAAATCGGAGTTCAATACAGACGGTTCATTCTTCACCCTTGGAGGATGTCGCAGGGAATAAGGCGGTTACAGAAGGCGCAAAATGGAAGAAGGGGTGTGTTGGAAGAGTGACGTGGCACTTTGGTGGGTTCGTAGTGACACGTGGCTGCCAACAATGTCGGATTCTGGAAAACAACGAATTTAAATGACACATGGATGCTTCTCCCATCGAAATTAATATTTTAATTTAATCATAAAACTAATTTCAAACCAATCCTAAAAATTAATAAATTAGATAAAATACTTAATCCAAAAATAAAATATATTGAAATAATATTCGTCCATTTTAATTTCAAAAATATTTTTATCGTTTTAATATCATTTAATTTTTAAAATAAAAAATTCGTGTTTAAACAATTTTTAAAAGTACTAATAACAATATTGATTTTATGAAAAATATAAAATAAAAAAAATTTAATTGTCTGATCTATAACCAACCTATTAAATTAAACATTCAAATAAAAAAAGATTTTAACCAAAAATTAAATTATTATTTCAAATTCTAAATATTTATATAATTTTTTTTAAAGAAAACAATTTAAAACCTTAAACTTTTATATAAATAAAAAAAATCTCATAATTTTAATATAAACAATTTAGACATTATATTTTAAAATATGAGATGATTAGGTCTCTATTTAAAAATGTTGTTAAAATTTAATAAATATTTTTCTAAATACACACCAATAAACAGAATAATTACCAAATATAATTACTAATAATAAATTAAGATTAAACCGTTACATGTTAAAAATAAATGAACTAAATATATTAAACTCAAAGATATTTTTCGAGATCCTTTGGAGAAATATTATTTTTATTTTTTATTTTTTTAAAAAAAAACTAATTCAGGATGACTTTGCAATGGTTGTTGCCAGCGTGGATCTCAATTATTGAAGACCTGGTCAAACAATTCTAACCATCAATGCGTCTTCATACACAAAATGTTATAACAAGAGAAAAATAAAAAACAATATTTTAATTTTAGTTTTAAAATTTTAATATATATATATAGGTAATATTTTTTAATTCTTTTAAATATTCGTCAGTCATTCTATTATTTAGATCACTCTCGGATGCGATATCAATTTATCTATGTATTAATTTTAAATGGTCGAAAAAAATGGATTAAATAATACAAAAGGTTAAAATATCTAAAGTATAAATCTCTTTTTAGAAAAATAAAAATAAAAATATAAAATATGTGTCGATGTGAATATTCAACGTTTATTCAAAGTCTGAAATGTCTTTATTCACATTAATAACGATGTTTCAATTTTGTAGAATTAATAAAATGTGGATGTTAATAAAAATTGATTTCTTTAAACTCAATAATCGAACGTTTGAATACTTTTCCATTAGTGATGTATTATGTTTTTAAAAATATTTTATCGATTTTTTTTTTAACAATATGATAAAAAATGTCGATGGGAAACCTATAGCCATGTGAAAATGTTTTAATACGTTGGTTGGTTCAACGTGCTCAAGATTTTAAATCCAAATTTGACACCTAATGAATCTGACATTTTTTTTTTTTGTTAGGATTGTACAACTCATACGCTGGTGTAGATGAAAAATAAAAAAGAGAAGATTCAATAATAAATATACATGGAGACACGGAGATATGTAGAAATAATTAAATAATAGATATTTGGTGTAAATTATCAAGTTGTAAAGGTGGGACCCGATGGAATAAATGAATCTGTTGACTTTGAGTTGACTTTGATTTTTCCCAAGTCTTATCCGACGTTATATATGTTGACTTTCTGTTGAATCATTCTTTGTCGTTTGAAGCTTTAAAACGCGCGTTTTGGAGACACTACAACAGTATACTATGCATTTCTATACGTAAAAATTTACTTATAAATGTTCAATACTTAAAACCTCATTTTCTCATCCTCAAGCTCATAACCAAATTCCTCTCTCTCTCTCTCAAGTTTTGTACCGACACTATATTCTCTCTCTTCGGTCTCGACCAAAATGAAGGTACGTACTCAGTTGAAAACATTACTGTTATCGATGAGTTAATTGTTTTCATGTCAAATTTTAACGGTTTTTGCAGCAAAAGATAGTGATTAAAGTATCGATGAAGGAGGGGGCTAAGTATCGTAGCAAAGCCTTGAAGATTGTAGCATCTGTCTCGGGTAAATTATGCGTACATATAATATAATCTATTTGAATTTCAATGAATTAAAAGAAATATTATTGAAAAATTATGCAAATTACAGGGAATATTGAGACGATCGGCTTGGTGGGCGATAACAAGGATAAATTAGAGGTAGTTGGAGATCTTGACCCGATCAAACTCATCGAGGTGCTCCGAAAGAAATTTAGTTACGCGCAGTTGGAGTCTGTGAGCATAGTTGAAGTCAAGGACGAAGACAAGGACAAAGACGAAGACAAAAATGAACCTGAAATAACTTGGACGTGCTCATGTGGGGTGCCTCATCAAACTCCGTATAGCCATTGTTACCTTAGCCCCGACCCGACCTATTGCATATGGTAATTCATGAAAGTAGTATAAATCTCTCCGATATAATCTACGTCTTTTTGTTTTAATTTGAAGCGTGAAAAATTATCTATATAATTATTTTTCGACATAGATTATTTCAAATGGTACGTAGATATGTGTCGAAAATTCAAAAAAGTTGTAATCGTCAATATATAGACCAAAATCATCAGCCTATACTTTATAGATTATCTCTAAATTTTTTAATGTTAATTTTTGAAATTCATAGATATTTTTTTAAACGCTGTAATAACAATTTCATCTATGCTAACGGTAAAAATATAATCTCATAACGTTAATATATGACGATTTAATTATTTTAATTCAAAATATGTGACAATTGAACTTTTATAATATTACAGAAAAATAACCAAATTATTTACAAATAAATACTATATTGTTTAGTAATAAAAGTCGATTAATTTTGATATATTTTTCATGGTATAATTATTTTGTTTTAAATTTAAAAGTAAATAAAGTAAATATTTTAATCTCAAAGATATTATTTGAGATAATTAAGAGAAATATTGTTTTTTATTTTTTATTTTTGAAAAATACTAATTAAGGATGACCTGGCAATGGTCGTTGCCAGCCTGGATCTCAATTCTTGAAGACCTGGTCAAACAGCTAGTGCTACAATTCTAAGAATCATTGTCGTCCACAAATCGTTAAAATAAAAGAAAAAAAAATCAATATTTTAAGTTTACTTTTAAAATCTTAATATATATATATATATAAATAGAAATGGCACAGAAAGTGATCTCACTATTCTAATTAGGGAATACAAACACATGCAACTCATGATTAGAGATATATCGTTAAAGCCATCATAGATGTGGTCTCTCGTCTGAACAAAAATGGATGTGTAATATTTTCCTAAACACGACCACACACGTGTGAGCGTGAGTCCACTGGACGGTTTGCACACCTCTTGGGCCCATCATAGTTGGGCTAGTTATATGTAGTCAGACGTCCGAATGTCAGCAAACCGTCGAATATCATGTAAGGCATGATGATGATCATGATCATAATGTACGCGTTCGTACTCGTTATCATAAATAGAGAAGTACCCTGATATAAATGAACACACAGTATTCATGAGGTCCTTATAGTTTTCATCTTAAATTATTCTTATAACACAACTTTATACATCATTCACATATTACCCATGCGTTAGCCTTCATATATCTATCATCATTAACATCATTTAGGGTTGTGTCTCGAAAATCTCTTATCATAATGCAACATCGCATTTCGTATATGCACATCATTTTAATATGAAATATCATCATATTGAGTCATATCGTCATCACGCATCATCATAACATAACATCACATTATACTAACTCACATCATCATAACATCGTGATATTATATAATTTCACATCATCGACATCTGCAAGGGTTACTGGGCACGTGTCGTCATACATAAGGCAAGTCTTTCGACCGAGCAATAAGGTCACTTACTTGGATCGCCTTAGTTGGGATTTTTTTCGTAAATTTGAATTTGCTAGATTTCATCCCTTGAAGTTATTCCAAGTATCGTCGGGGTGTTCACCCTATTAGGACAATTACGTGATTTCCTTAGTAATTCTAGTTTCTTAGCTCAATTTAACTTGAATTGAGAAATCAGACATCATATTCCTTAATTACCTAAGTAAGGTCAAATTTAGCTCTGGGAGGGTCCAAAACATAGGAATCGGTGTAAAAAATGTCAATCTGAGACGAATGACAGGTTTTAACCGTTGGAGTTGAGCCGAGCCGAGGGAAGTCGATGGCTACAGATAGGACACGTGTCAGTGGGAGAGCTTATGCACGTACAGGTCACAAGTCGAGTTGAGGCGCGGGTCTCAAGTTACTTTCACTGGTGCGCGGGTCGCAACGTTGGGCCGTATATGCTATCGAGTTACAGGTTGTGCTGCTACTGGGCCAAGTGTACTAGTCTTTCGTTCGAAATTAATCTACTCTTTGCTGACGATAATACTACTCTTCACTGGTGCGCGGGTCGCAACGTTGGGCCGTATATGCTATCGAGTTACAGGTTGTGCTGCTACTGGGCCAAGTGTACTAGTCTTTCGTTCGAAATTAATCTACTCTTTGCTGACGATAATACTACTCTTCACTGGTGCGCGGGTCGCAACGTTGGGCCGTATATGCTATCGAGTTACAGGTTGTGCTGCTACTGGGCCAAGTGTACTAGTCTTTCGTTCGAAATTAATCTACTCTTTGCTGACGATAATACTACTCTTCACTGGTGCGCGGGTCGCAACGTTGGGCCGTATATGCTATCGAGTTACAGGTTGTGCTGCTACTGGGCCAAGTGTACTAGTCTTTCGTTCGAAATTAATCTACTCTTCGCTGACGATAATACCACACTAGATATCACGACGAAAAGCGTCGTTTGACTTACCATGGTGTGTCTTGGCTTGTTGGTAGCCACTTAACGTGTATCGTTCATCACAACATTGATCGAGTATCTCAGTTTTACCGGCGTCGTACTTCGAGGAGAAGGTTCATACCCTCTCTCATTCTTTCGTACTGTTAATTAAATATTTTAAAAAAATTTAAAATACCCATTTTCATATATTTAAATATTCATTATAATCCTGAATTGAATTAGTATAAAAAAAAATATAAAAATATATTAGAACAAAGACGCATTCCTTCCAACTGTTCATTCTTAAAATAATAAAAAAATAATAAAAAATATATTTTTTTTTCTCATCTTATTATATAAATGGTCAACTTAATCTTAATTATTATCCATAAGTGTAATTACTTTCTTAAAATAATTATTTTTATGGTAGTTGTATGATTATTTTAATGGAGAGTAGCAAACCACGAGTCTTTTTTAATTGCCAATAAAATTATATTTATATTTTTTTACGAGGACTAAAATTCTATTCGCCTCAGAGCGGGTAGCTTAAGTTTTTTTTTTTAATAATAAGATATTAAAGGTTGTTATCGGGTTGGTACGGAGTAGAATAATACAAAACGTTAAAATATCTGAAGCTCAAATCTCCCTTTCGTCACATTTATTGTAAAAATAAAAGATAAAATATAAAATATGGGTCGATATGAATATTCAACACTACGTAATGTTAATTCAAAGTTTGAAACGTCTTTATCGATGTTTAACCGAACGTTTAAGCAATTTTTCATTAGTAACAATATTATGTTTTTAAATATATTTTATCGGTTTACTTTTTACGATATGATAAAAATGTGATGTGAAATGTGAAGATGTTTTAATATATTGGTCAATTCATTAAAATAAAATTTAATGTCAAATTACCCTTATTTTATTCAATTTTAATCAATTGAACGTGGAAAAAAAAAATAATTTAAACGATATTTTAAAATTACAGTAACGTCAATAATATGATGAAACTGTCATGGTTAAGGATTGGTTGAATGGTGCAGTTTCTTACCCATGGTTAGGGTTAGTTAGAATAGTCATCTTTTCAAGGTCTTGTCGTTTGGTGAATCACTTGAACCCTGATATATTTTCGATGCCATGAAGTTAGACTAGTGGGCTGTTACGCTTTCTTCAAAGGATGACTGCTTCTAAACCCATCGCTCGATTACTTCCTTTTCCACTAAGTGATTGTTTAGGGACCTCAACGTACGATCTAGGTTGTTACCCTCTCGACTTTGGATCTCAGCACCTCAAAAGTCTGTCTGTACAAATGATCTACGCCTGTATTCGAAGTTTCCCTAGGGTTTGCAAGGCAAAATGGTAACATTCCAATGGAGATAGCGTTTATTGATTATAAACCCATGATCATTTCCTAAATTAGCCGATGTGAAACTTTTATATAACAGAGATATCAAAAAACTACATTACTGTTCACGTTTATAATAGATAATTTCAAGTATTTACGGATCAGATAACCCATTTGAAAAAAAAAAAATCCAAATAGGATATTAAATAAGATTCTATCTTAGTAACTATTACGAGAACACTATTCAACTAAAAAAAATTAAAAAATTGCTGCTTTGAATCCGATATTTTATTTTCTATTTTGATTGAAAAATTAAACCGACAAAAAATCAGATTTAACTCGAGAACCAATCAGAAGCATACCCACCAAACATAATATAATGTTTTTTGTAATATAGTACCGTTGTGGAAAAATTTGAACCTCTAATTTAGATTAGTTTTGCAATTTAATAAAATTATTATGGTAATTTAGATATCGTCCTAAAAGTAAAAAATTAATATATATATATATATATATATATATATATCTTTATATTTGGTGTAATTCATTAAAACTTTATTGTAAAAGTTATAATATGATTTAGACCAAGGTGAGGCCTAGTTGAATTAAATGAATCAGTTAGCTAAACCTACACCTTTATTTTATTCCAAAGTCTTACACGGCTTTACATATATTGACTTTGCATTGAATCATTCTTCATCATACTATATACTAAACATTTCTATACATAAAAATTTGCTTATAAATATTCAATACCTATAACCTCATTTTCTCATCCCTCAACCTCATAACCAAATCCCTCTCTCTCTCTAAAGCGTTTTACGGACATTATATTCTCTCTCTCTTCAATCTCAACTAAAATGAAGGTATGTGTCCCGTTGAAAACATTATTGTTATCGATAAGTTGACTGTTTTTATCTCGAGTTTTGACGTTTGTTTTTACAGCAAAAGATAGTAATTCGAGTGTCGATGAAGAGGGGGGCTAAGTATCGTAGCCAAGCCTTGAAGATTGCAGCATCTGTTTTGGGTAAGTTATGCGTATATATAATATAATCTATTTGGATTTCAATGAGTTTAAGGGAATTTGACTGAAGAATGATGCAAATCGCAGGGGATATTGAGACGATTAGCTTGGTGGGTGATGACAAGGATAAAATAGAGGTAGTTGGAGATCTTGACCCAATTGAACTCACTGAGATGCTGAGAAAGAGATTCGGTTGTGCTCAGCTGGAGTCGGTGAGTGTGGTCGAAGCCAAAAAGGAAGACGAAGACGTGAACAAGGACAAGGACGAAAATGAACCTCAGATAACTTGGACGTGCTCGTGGGGGGTGCCTCATCAAACTCCTTATTGCTATTGCTACCATTGCCCCTACCCTTCCTATTCCATATGGTACAGTGATTCATGAATTCAAATTTGTATGAACCAATAAAAATGTAATGAAAATACGTATTTAATCTGTTCGACATAATATACGTTTTTTTTTCGCCTTAATTTAAAGTGTAAAAATTTACCTAAATAGTTATTTTTTGACGTAGATTATTTCATCTACTCGAAGTAAATATTAATTTGCATGTAGATGTGTGTAAAGCTATATTGGTATGACGTAGTTTAAAAATATTTATTTTATAGGGGTAAAAAAGTAATATAAAATAAACGGAACGTTCATGTATGTAAAAGTAATGTTTTTTTAAATAAAACATGAGTTACATATTAAAAAAAAACAAAATTTTTGGAAAGAATTGAGTTAATGCAACGGCTCATTAAATCTTTGTCCTATTTGTGCTTTTTCGGTTTTGGCTTCTTCTCAAGGTGGACGTTTCCTCTCCTTTTGGGCTTCATCTCAAAGTTTTTAAAACATGTCAGTTAGGTCGAGATTTTAGGATGTTTCGTTCTCCTCCCCAATCGATGTGGTCACAATCCACCCCTTTCGGAGCCCAGAGTCCTTGTTGGCACTCACTCTCCTCTCCAATCGATGTGGTCACAATCCACCCCTCTTTAGGACCCAACGTCTTTACTGGCACACCGCCTCGTGTGCCACGGATGCTTCGTTCTCCTCCTCAATCGATGTGGTCAAAATCCACCCCTTTCGGGGCCAGTGTCTTCTGGCACTTTGGGGTTCGAGAAATTTTAGAATGATTCATTCTCCTCTTCAATCGATGTGGTCACAATCTACCCCTTTCGGGTCCTAAGATCATCAACTTCAATTTTATGCTCCATACGCGTTGAATTTATAAAAATTTGAAATTATTGAAAAATAATTTTCACAAAACTATAATGTCAAAACTTTCCTTATCAAATTTAAATAGCATTTAATTCACTACCATTTCAATTACAATATTTTTTTTGGTTTTAGGGTTTGTTTTCCAACTTCAACTACCTTAAAAAAAACATTACCTTAAAAATAATAGATGTTTTCTTTATTTTATATTAAGTTATACAAAAGAACACTAAATATAAATTTCAATTTCTAGATTTTAAAAATTTTAATTTGTACTCTAAAAACTTTGAAAATTAATAAATACGATATATATATATATAAAATCCATTTTTACACAACAAAGATCTTTTTTATAATTTAAGTTATAGAATTCAAAGTAAAGATTTAAAATATAAATTTGTTTAAAGATTATAATTGAAATTTATTTAAAAATTTATGGGTATTTTATATAATCCAATCTAAATTTTATATGGAGGGTAACGAGAAAGCTTGAGTTTTTTTTTTTTTTTTTTTTAATTTTTAATTTTTAATTTTTTAAATTGATAATTTCTCGAGATTGTGGGTATGATCTGTGAGAGAGAATGGAAGGCGTAATGTAAAACGGGGAAGTGAGTTGTTACGGTGCGGGGTGGGGCAGCTGCTCAACCAAAGTCTTCTCCGATTGAAACGGGGGAAGCAAAGAGAGTGACATAACAACGCCGCTGCTGCGGATATTTCTTCGTCTCTAAATTTATTTCCATTTCAAAATTCACAAGAAGATCTGTTTTTGTCTGTCATTTTTGCTTTAATGGCGTTTCTCTGTCAAATAATAGAAACCCATTTTCTCTTCCCACAAAGTAGGAATAAAAATAGCGACAATGGTGGGAGGAGGATAAGGAGGGTGGAACGTGCGTGCCTTCCAATCTTCATTATTCTTCTTTTAATCATCAATCATCAATTAATAACCAACGAATTCAACTTTTCTCCACCGCCCCCTCTTTCGTTTATGAAACTTGAATATCTTACCTATTGACCCACTCTCTTTGTTGTCTTCTTCCAACGTTTTGCAGGAGATTTTGCCTTCTTTGTGTAAGCATTTTATTCAACCTACAACCCATTTCAAGAATGGGGAATCATTGTTCCAACCCATCTCTCCATAGGTTTGTTCTGTTTTCCTTTTAGGGTTTATTTCTTTCCTTTTCTGGGATTGTTGTTATTTTTTTTCTTGAAATGTCTTAAAGATTTCAATGCCATTGATGTTTATATTGAGAAAATGTATGTGGGTCACGATGATTTTGCGATTTCTTCTGAATTTGAGTTAATGGGTTGTTTGAGCAGATAGGAATGGACAGTGATTTGAACAAAACAACTTACTGTGGGAACAACTTTGTTGCGCTGTAATTGTCGTGTCTGGTGATGGAAATTTGGCTGCCGTTGTACCCCAACGTTAGTCATGGATGGACTTAGGAGTAACGACAACAAACAAAACATTGATAGGCATTCCCGAGCTGAGGTCTTTGTTTCTGTTACTATGTTTTTTTCCTGTTCATTTGTAATCATCCTTTGGCTTCTTGTTTATACCCTTAGATGTCGTTTTTTTTTACTAAACATGTTGTTTGGTGCGGCAGATGGGATCGTTCAGCGAGAGAACCATACTTGAATTTGAAGATGAGAGCCTTGTTAGTCCTGTATCATTAAATAGAAAGAATTTTTCTATTGAGCATAGTTCGTCATTGGGTGGTGGTTCGCAGAAACTTTGTTATGGCAACATGAAGAACAGGGTATTTCACAGCCTTAAGGTTGTCGTCTTCTCTGCTAAGATCAACTTTCTCATGCCTTTTGGGCCATTAGCAATATTAGTCAGCAGTTTGACTGGTCACCATGTGAGTTATCTTTCCACATGTTTGTATTAATTCAAATGATCTTATTCCATTTTGTATCCATGGCTTATGTATGTGCATTTCAGGGTTGGGTCTTCCTTTTAAGCTTGTTGGGGATCATACCTCTTGCTGAACGTTTGGGCTATGCAACTGAGTAATGTTTCTTCAACCTTAGATTTCTTGTTGTAGTTGTGCATTTGTAGAAGTTTTTGCTATCGAACTTCAATCATATGCTTTGGATGAATCAATAGTTTTTTGGACACTCGGGTTTGATTTCATATCCTAAAGTGAGTGTGATACTATTTGAGAATTCTTTTAGTTTTTAGTTGCGAGGTCCTACATTGGTTGGAGAGGGGAACAAAGCATTTCCTTATATGAGTGTGGAAACCTCTCCCTAACAGACACGTTTTAAAACCTTGAGAGGAAGTCCGAAGAGGACAATATCTGCTAGTGGTGGGCTTGGGCTGTTACAAATGGTATCAGAGCCAATCACCAAACGGTGTGTCAATGAGGATACTGTGCCCCCAAGGAGGGTGGATTGTGAGTTCCCACATTGGTTGAAGAGGGGAATGAAGCATTCCTTATAAGAGTGTGAGAATCTCTTCCTAAAAGACGCGTTTTAAAACCTTGAGGGAAAGCCCAAAGAGGACAATATCTACTAGCGGTGGGCTTGGGTTGTTATATATGGTATCAGAGCCAGTCACCGGACGGTGTGCCAACGAGAACACTGGGCTCCCAAGAAAGGTGGATTGTGAGATCCCACATTGGTTGGAGAGGGGAACGAAACATTCCTTATAAGGGTGTGTGGAAACCTCTTTTTAACAGACGCGTTTTAAAATCTTGAGGGGAAGCCTAAAGAGAACAATATCTACTAGCGGCAGACTTGGGCTGTTACATTAACACTTCTTAAGTGACCCGTTTTCCGTTTAACACTGGATTTGATGCATGAAAAAATGACCCCTATGTATAAGTTTTAGGTTTGCTTTGCAACTCATTCCGCCTCAAGGAGCCTTGGTGCTTTAAAAACACTCATTCTGCCCCAGGGTGCATCCCTGCAGCCAACTGTCTAATAGATTTGACTAGTAGCCATAGGTCCAACAACTGGTTTGATTTGTCAAAGTTTCATAACGATCAACTAAGTAACCATTAATCCCCCTTATTTCCTTACCAAGTAAATTTAGAAAGGTATGTTCATTTTTGGGTTATTGAGTATTCATTATAGATGTCTTATAGAACGATTTCGCTTTTGATGCAGACAACTGGCATGCTATACTGGAGCCACAGGTAATAAGATTTGAAGTTGGGTTTTACATCACGTATGGAGTGTTTTGTTTATACTTTTCAAATTTAACGTAAATAGCTTCATGTTTAACTTTGCAGTTGGAGGTCTTCTGAATGCTACTTTTGGAAATGCCACAGAATTGATAATATCAATATATGCATTACGAAGAGGAATGATACGTGTCGTTCAACAGTCATTATTAGGTTCAATTTTGTCTAACATGTTATTAGTACTTGGATGTGCCTTCTTTGCCGGTGGAATTGTGGTTTCTAAGAGAGAGCAGGTCTTCAGTAAGGTTTGATTTTACAAAAATAGGAGTCTTCTTGGATACTGATTGCTTAATATTCTCTGTTTGATCTCTAAAGCATGTAATGGGTATGATGTTTTCTTGTTTTTAGGCATCTGCTACTGTAAATTCTGGATTGCTGTTAATGGCGGTAATGGGACTTCTATTTCCTGCTGTTCTTCGTTCCACACATACAGAGTTGCACTCTGGGAAGTCAGAGTTGGCTCTTTCAAGATTTAGTAGCGGCATTATGTTGGTGGCATATGCTGCCTATCTTGTTTTTCAGTTGAAAAGCGATAAGAACTTATATCTCCCCGTTACTGAGGTTCGTTGCTATGCTTTCGTACTCGATCTCAACCGCATGAACTGTCTATCTTACATTCTATTTTATAGTCTTTTTATGCAAATGCCATACCATGGTTGTTTCAACACGAACCCTTGGGTGACATAGTCTGAGTTGAAAGTCTTCAAATAAGTTGTGAATTTTGCTAGATATTGTAGTTTTCAAGAGCTCAAGCCCACCGCTAGCAGATATTGTCCTTTTTGGGCTTTCCCTTTCGGGCTTCCCCTCAAGGTTTTTAAAACGCGTCTGCTAGGGAGAGGTTTCCACACCCTTATAAAGAATGCTTCGTTCTCCTTCGCAACTGATGTGGGATCTCACAATCCACCCTCTTCGAGGCCCAGCGTCCTCATTGGCACTCTTTTCCTTCTCCCATTGATGTGGGACCTTCAATCCATCCCCCTTTGGGGTCCAGCGTCCT